TGGCAGCCCCCTACAGCAGATGGCTTCAGCTCCAGGTCTGCGCTTATCTCACCTTCCGATGCCCAAGGGGAGGCAGGGGAAGAGACCTGCAGCCTCCCTGCCCTCTCCTTGAGGGAAGCAAAGGCCAACAGATCCCTTCCTCAGCCAAGTCCTTCCCATCTCATGAACTCAACTGTGCTGGTGCTATGAAGCATTCAGAAAAGCCAGGGCCAGCAACACTGCTGCAAGAAGCCATGAGACCCATCTCTGGAGCTGCAGGCTTGAAGGTGACAAAGTCCATTCCAGCTTTCTAATAAGACCAAGGCTTCCACTCTCCTGGTCACAACGATGTCCAGACATGAAGTTGAAGAGGTGATAAAGGCCAAGCACTTCAGCAACACCTGGGGAGACAGGATTTCCTTTGGTCTGCCTCACAGCAGCCCAGCTTTCCCAGCTGGTCCATCACATGGCTGACAGAGGAAGTTCAGAATCCAACTGGAGCTCAGCATCGAGGGCACCACGTGTGCCACCAGTTCCTAGATACCACAGCAGGCATCACCCCGCCAGCCTGGGCAGAGCCACGCAATGGCTGGGATGGCTACAGCTCCTCAGGGTGCGCAGTGCAGCAGCCAACCTGTCCCTGGTTCCCTGCCCCAGGGCACCCCCAACTGCTCATACTCATTTCTGCCTTTTGTTCTGGACAACATTTGGTAGGGCAGAAGGCATCCGTCCTGCCCTTCAGAGGCCAGCCCAGCAGCTCCAGTCCTGACCTACACCTTCCATAACCCAGCACAGACCCTGCCAGCACCCAACCCTGACTACACTGGCAGTTGTCTAAGTCACCCACAACCCTTCCTCCCAAACCCAAGCCCTCTGGCTTGCAGACCAGTCACCGGGACATGTCCAAGGAAGGGAGAAGGTGTCAAGAGTAAGAAACAGACCCACACATCCAGGCCTTCTCCCTCCCCACCAGGATCAGCTTTTCCCATCTGACCCCCACAAAGCCCACCTCTGCCTACTTGCCTGCAAGGTCACCCAGGGGTCCTGGGGCAGCCCATGGTGGTGGGAAGGCACCTCCAGCGCTGAGGGAAGGTCCTGGGTCCAGCCTCACTCCTCCTCTGCTGCTCCCAGCCCAGGCTTCCTGGTGTTGGTGACAGAGCAATGGGCTGGAGAAAGGTTTTACCTGCTCCCAGGGGTAGGAAAAGACTATTTGACCGAGCAACGGGCAAGCGGGACCGCTGCTAGGCCAGATCTGGTGTTTTACTAGTCCTTCCCTGCTTGGAGAAAACCAAGCCCAGACACCAAGCTGCCACCAGAGAGCCTGCTCCCGCAGACCGCTGCCAGATTCAGTAGGTTTGGTGAGGTGACAAGACACAGCACATGCGACAGCATTCAACAGGGAACCAGTTTAATCAGATATTGGGTTTGCACCATTCTTTTCAAGTACCACAAGTTCTGCATTTTTCTAAGAAATACAAAGCACTCTCAGGTTGCACAGAACGCTGGTCCTGTAGAACACAGGAGGGAGAGAACGAGACACTCCGATACAGACACATCAGCCACCGTGCTGGGCAGGAGAAAGGAACCCCCTCGTCCCCACCTCGCTGATGGTAACAGTCACTTTACAGGAGGAAAAGAGATCCCAGGGGGTCCCTGCCACAGCAGCGGGGCTGTGGCCAGGTGCCCCACACCCACCCAAGGTCAGGGTACCCCAGCGTAACCACCAGACACGTCCACGCCCCCATTAGCACAACACTAACGAACAAAGCGCTTCCACATTCCACAACGGAGTGAAAAACCCCTTCATAAAACCAGTTGACAAGCATCCAGGTTCATCTACTCTAGGTAATCATAAACTCAGAGCCAGGGCAAGTTACTTCATCCACAAGATTAACAGCTGACTCAGTAGGCTGAACGCATGCTACTTACAGCACATAAATAGAAGTTGTTGGGGTTTGTTTTTTTTTTTTCTTTTTTCTCCTTAAAAAAAAAAAAGCACGTTACGAAGGTCTACAGTCCGATTGCCTAGACACGGCCGCATGCACACGACTATCGGCCTCCACAGAAGCGGGCTGCTCTGGGCAGCGAGGAAAAGCTGTCTCTGCATCAGCTATTCCAGGCGTCACGGGACAGCTAGCCTGCCCCCGTGCTCGCACGTTATCCACGCAGCCATTAAATACGGTACTAGCTAAGAGGGGGTTTTAAATACAAACTCCAGGGTTGCTTTTTTTCCAAAAGAAATGTTAATCCATAGAGGGTTACAGTTAACAGATATCATCACTTTATTTCTCAGAACCAGAAATAGTGTTGGAACAAACAAACAAAACAAAAAACCCCAAAAGACACAGCATGTCATTTCCAGAAGTGCAACCAGGGTACAGGGTAGCTCTCGGCAACACGAAGGGCTTCTGCAGCCGGGAGAGGAGGGGAGCCACGGCAGAAGATGGCAGCTCCCACTCCTGGCGGGCGCCTGACCTTGCGACGCTCTCTGAGGGGATTTGTCACCGCACCCTCCGCCCCACCCCGCTAGCAGGACCCACGGCACGTGGGACCACTGAGTCCCCCAGCGCCCACCGAGCCAGGGAGCTGCAGAGAGGTGACTTTACAGGGATGTACCCCAAAATAAGAGACCTCAAAATAAATAGGACCAGAGCTTCTTTACAGTAGGCAATGCACTAGCTTTACCATGAACAAAACTAAGACTAACAGTCACTTCTTGCCAACGGAGAAACTTTTCCTCCTTTTCACATTTTCCAGCCCCCTGCCCTCCCCACTGCAGTGCGGCCGGGATGGCGTTGCGGGGGGGCGCAGCCCCAGCCAGTCCCATCCTCACACCAGGGTGAGCAGGGCCAGCTGGGGGGGCCCTGCACAGCCCTGGGGCTGGCGGAAGGGACAGGCAGCCAGGGGTGCCTGCATCCATCTCCACACCAGCCGAGACAACCCTCAGCAGCTACCAGCAGCTCTGCACCATGACCCAACCACACGGCTCTGGATGCCACCACTGCTGACAGCTGTGGTCCAGCTGCCTCCTCCAAGAACACTTCTTCCAGTGGAAAGAGGAGCAGGATGGGGGCACAAGCAGGGCCCAACCTCACCCATGCTCCCCCAGCACCCCGCCGCAGCCCAGACTGGGGGGGGGGGGGGCGCTGCGGGGGGGGGAGAGGCCG